AGTGGGGTGTTTTGCTGTGGGTTATGCTGCACAACAAGTAAAAATGCCTTCAGACAATGAGGCTGCTGCCTCAGCCGTCACCTGGCAGCACCTCTGCTCTCTATTTTCAGTTGGCGGTAATAAACGTGGCAGTGGTTCCTCCACTACTACCACCTTGTACACCAAAGACTTAGTGCAGTTTCATCAGGCAGATGTATACAGAGCACACTGTATCTTGAAATAGAGGAAAATGGTTACTGTAACACTATAACACAGTGAATATAACAGGATTTGCTAGCAAGTATCATAAATGATGTTTAATGTCCCAGAGCAGATAATCCAACTCTTAAAGCTAATGTTTCTCTTCATTGATCTGTCTGTTCTCTGCTAGTGAAGATGTGAAGGAACCTGTACAGTACAATCAGTTCTGCTATTGTTTCACTTGCAGTAGTTTTTATGGTTGCCATGAATGAAAACCAGTCAAACTCTTTCCTTTGTTTCTGCTGCTCACCTTGGTTGCATTTCTGCTGTTGCAGTATGTTACATTAGAGGAAGCTGCAACTTCTGAATTTTATTTATGAAACTTTCATTTTGATTAATCCCAATTACAATTTGACCAGTTGGAGGAATAATTCAAAATTTCTGTAATTGGATTCTGTCTATTAAGTGATAATTCAACATGTCTCCCAAACAGATTTTTGAATACTGATAAATCCTTTTTCTTCTACCAGTATAACAGAAATCATCACACCTGTGAAATACAGTAGTTGTTTTGGCCTATAAATATCCAGGTTATAACCAACTTATTAACACATTGTCAACAGCAACGGCACCCACTCGAGGATGCTGTTAAAGCAAGCGGCAGCTGTGTACTTTCGTCATTCCTAAACTTTTTCTCTACAAAACATTTTCCAACAGCAATTCTCTTAGCCTGCTCTCTCAGTATGCCACTGTGCTGCAGAACAAAGAAACCAGTGAGCAAGCCATCATGATCACTTTGGGGACCCAGAATACACATTCCCCATAGGACACTGGAAAACAGACCTAAAAACAAAAATACCATCAGAGATAAAATAAGCAAAAGCTAAATTCCAGAGTAGAAGTGGTGCTGAACTGTATGTTCACTGAAAGGGGCTATGCCTTCTGTGCTTGGAGCTCAATAAGGCCATCACCGCAGGGACTTCAAATGATCAACTGCATGTAGCTAAAAATATCATGATTCATTTCCCTTTAATAAACTGTTCATTATTTTTCAGGGTTACATCAACACTCTTCTTGTGACATTCTCTAAGACCTGTTCCATCTCTCTGAATTTCTTACAATTGTCGCCAGAGCTGGGTCAAAGGCATCTTGGAAAAAAATGGTTTAACTTTCTTCATCCTCACTTAATGTCTGTCACTTTCAGCTGCTCCTATTAGGGGTCACCACAGCAAATCATCACACTGAGGTTTCGCATGTTGAAATTTGGCATGTGTTTTACGCCGGATGCCCTTCCTGACACAACTCTGAGTCGAACCCAGGCTGCAGCGGCGAGAGCGCTGAATCCTAACCACTAGTCCATCAGGGACCCCTTCATCCTCACTTAATGTCGGTAGGGTTAAAAAAAGACAAAACCTGCTTTAAAATTGCATCATTTTAACCCATAAATCATATTGACACATGCACAAATGCACACACAAGCTAATTCTTCTCAATTTATCTATAGCCAACTGATGACAAGCAAACATGCTTTATGCCAACAGGAATACACACTAGCCAGTGTATACATACACCCACACACACACACGTAGTAACACAGAGGTCTTGCAAACCCTCATAACTCTTGTGCGCTATAGGCCTGACCCAGATGGTTTCCAGAATAAATTTGGCTTAAATTCATGAACAGCACAACAATACTTTATTATGTGTCAAAGTGTATGGGTGTGGACACACTTAAATACAGGTGAGTTTTAAAGAACTTTAAAGAAGAAGATAAATTGGTCTATGGATGTAAAAATGATACTATATTTGATACTAGAACTGAAACAATTGGACAGTTAGAGGATCACATTGACTGACTGAAGTAATTTGCTGAAAGAAAGAAAAGGTTTCATATTTTCAAATGTGAGGAGTTTTTATTCCACTGCAAATTGAATGTTTTTGGTTTTAGACAAAGCAAGTAATCCGAATCATTTGATAAAGTATACAGGGGGGTTTTATGGCATGCTGGCTTGGCTGTAGGGGATGGCAGTGTTGGTCTGTCAGTTGGTGGGTTTGCTTCTTTGTTCAAGACTGAAATCTCATGGCAAGCCACCTGTTGTCAAGATATTTGTAGACACATGCATGGCCTAGAGAAGATGAAGCCTGGTGATCACTTGACTTTAGTTACAAGCATGTTGACTTTTTTGGCTTTTACCTCATTATCTTGACAGCTGTTCGGTGGGTTGCTATAAAAATTTGTACACACAGGTTCCCAGATGTTAAATCAGAACCTAATAACTCGTGACCATTTAATTTTCCTCTAGTGCCACCACCAGGCCAATTGTCCATTCATTCTATGAAGAAAATGTGGTTGCAAACTTAATTTTAGAATAGTTATTCCGTCATAGTGTTAGATTTTTAGCCAAAATAAAACTGCAATTGACATTTTCCTGATTTTACCTAAATCCCTCTTTTTCTTGAGTTCATTCTGTAATATAACATAGGGTAATGAGTGCATTGTAAACTCTGGATGAAGGTCAGCTCACTGAAGTCACACTAGATTAGGAGGGGAGACTGGGTCATGTTGAGGGTTGTTGACATAGCAACGGTAGGAAATTTTGTGAAATGGGATAACTTGTCATATTTTGGTATAGGCAATGTCAGTGGAGATGGTTCATAATGGTGACAGCGGTCTGCTCCATTACACCTGACAGGAGCTGTCAGTGAGCTGGAGTACAGACCGAGAGATCAGCAAGAGCAGTACCTGGCAGTTTAGTGCTAAGGACACAGGAAAAATGACTAAGAGGGTTAAGAGTGAGAGTGAAAGGCAACTGCTGGAGTTTGAAGTGCCTCAGTGGCATGGAGAAAAATCTCAGTGGAGCACTGGGGGTTGAGATCAAGTTTTTTAGATAATTAAATTATCAACGCAGGGCTGTAGTGTTTGACACTAAAAACAATTACCCTTTGATTTCTTGCAAGGATTGGATCGGCTAGTGAAGGACTACAGATACTGTAAATAGGTTACAACCCGACATAGGGGTGTAATAATCCATACATCTGGATTAATCCATACATCAGATAAGCAGTAGTGGTCTGTGGTCTGTTACAAAGCATAACCATTAATGTTATATGCACCTTTGACTTTGACACTCTGACAGCCACATTCATACACTTTTACACCGAAGCACATGCTCTCTTTTTACAGGACATGAGCACCAGGTGACAAAGCAGTGGAGTATCCTGATTGGTAAAGTAAGATGCAAGTGACGTAACAGTGGTACTGAAGCATTTGATCTGTTCAGTTCACCGACTCTGACCTCCATGCAGCGCCTTTAGTCAGAACTGCAGCAACCAGACGTACTGTCTTCACCATGCTGATAGCAGAAATGTACTGAACAATAGTTTTCATGTACATGTAGGCTCATTTGGATTAAATCAGAAATGTTTTTATGTACGTTTGTGTTTATTTTATTTTTTTGCTCCAAGAGGGCAGAGGAAAGTGAAACTCAAAAGCTCACAGTGACATCAGGAGCCTGAACAGTCATAACAGATACCAGTATAAAATGGTTTTCATTTGAAATTAGTAATGAATACTAATGATTTGTGTGACTAGCATGAACAAGACCTTGTAGAGTTGGACAATGTTAATTTGGATTTTACACAGATGTATTTTTTTACATCTGCTGAGATTTATAAAATGTTACTCAAAATATGGCACATTCCTGGGGCAAAGTTCCATTTTTTTTTTCTTAAAATGATTAACCATCAGTCTTTCCTGTTAACCTGGAGACATCTCCAATACACATCCTTTGGTTTAGGGTGTAAATTATATCTGAATAGATTTGAAGGTACAGTCAGCGGGCAAGACAAATTACATAGGAAGTGCACATTAACATGTAATAAGACTGAACTAAGTAATTTCTAATTAGGTTGCCCTTTTAAAAAAGGGAGCATGTCTGTGATCCTGAGGAAAAAAAAGACTAATTGTCTGTGTAGGTTACAAGCTTTTTAGGTCTCTGCTCTTGGCCTAGAATCTTAACAGCAACAAATGATAAACCCATCTATTATTGCATGGTGTTTAATGCATATCAAAAGAACGTTTATTATGCTTAAATTTATTCCTGCCTTTTATTGGATACAGCTTTTTAAGTATAGTTTTATGTTTGACTTTAGGTAGCTGTCTTTCTCCAGCTCACTGCTGTTTTTACTCCACTGAACTGGTGCTCATGAATTATCTGGGATGACACCCTCTTAATAAATATATACATATAAATATATATATGTGTGTATGTATGTGTGTGTGTATATGTGTATATATATAATTCTATTCACAGTGTGTAGTACAAAAACTCCAGTATTATGTCATACATTATTATGGTTTTTAAATACAAACTATGAAGAAGATGCTTTGTACCTGACTGTCCTCTGTAGTTAAATACCTGAAGCACATACGTTAGGTAGAAGAAGTACATGGGTATCATAATGCATTGGTGGTGAAAGGCACTTTAGCATGAGAATCATGTTTATTGGCCAAGTATGTTTAAACACAGAAGGAATTTGTCTCTAGTGCAGAAGCTCTCGGTGTGCTTGTTTTTTAAAAATGGGTGGGGGGGAGGGATAGATAATCTAAACACACACTGCTCAAAAACTTGAAAGCATCACTTAAATCACACCACAACTTGATGAATGACTTATTTAGGTTGAAAACTTTACTAATGCACATTATATAATTTTGTCAGAAAAAAAAACAGTTAATGGAAACCAAAATCATCAACCCATTGGAGGGCTGTATTCAAAATCACACTGAAAAGCAACGTGGAAAATTAAAACTGTTGGCTCATCCAAGTTGTGAATTTCACCACGGCAGTTCATAATGTGACTCAAAAGTGTGTATGGTCTCTGTGTGCCTGTACCACTCCCAACAGTGTCTGGGCATGCTCCTGATGAGTTGATGGATGGTGTCCTGGGGGATCTTCTCCCAGACCTGGATCAGGGCATCAGTGAGCTGGGCTGTGCTGGTACATGGTGGTGTCGGATGCACTAATAGATAATGTCTCATAGGATGTTCAATTGGTTTTAGGTCAGGGGAAAGTGAGGGCCAGTCAATGGCATCAATGCCTCCATCACCCAGGAACTGCCTACACAGTCTGGCCACATTAGACCAGGCACTGTCCTGCACCAGGAGGAATCCAGGGCCCACTGCACCAGCATGGTCTCACAACCTCACAACAGTCAGAGAACTGTTGGCCATGACAAGGAGGTCTGTGCAGCCCTCTAAAGATATGCCTCCCCAAACCATCACTGACACATCACCAAACCAATCATGGTCTGATGTTATAGGCTGCATTAATGTTCACCACGTCATCGTCAGACTTTTTCACGTCTGTCCCATCTGCTCAGTGTGAACTTGCTCTTATCTGTGAAGAGATCAGGGCACCAATAGTGGACCTACCGATTCTGGTGTTCTCTGGTGAATGCCAGTTGAGCTGCATTGTACTGGGCTGTGAGCACAGGTCATACTAGAGGATGTGGGGCCCTCATGCCACCATCACGGAGCCTGTTTCTGACAGTTTGGTCAGAAACATGCACACCAGTAGCTGCTGGAGGTCATTCTGTAGGGCTCTGTCAGTACTCTACTTATTCCTTCTTGCACAAAGAAGCAGATACCGGTCCTGCTGCTGGGTTGTTTCCCTGTCTAGCTATCTTGGTGTAAAGTCCAGTCTCCTCGTATCTCCTCCATGCTCTTGAGACTGTGCCGGGAGAAATAACTAACCTCCTTATGACTGCATGATGTGGCATCTTGGGGTTGCTGGGCTACCTGTGCAACCTGATTGGGCTGCCTCATGTTACTAGTAGTGACAAGGACACTAGCAAAATACAAAACTTAAAGAATCATTCAGTGAGGATAAAAAGAGAGCATTTGTGGCCACCACATGCAAAACCATTCCCTTTTTGGTGGTTGTCTTGCCTTTTACTCTCCATTGCACTTGCTATTACTTTCATTTGCACCAAAGCAGGTGAAACTGATTCACAATCTCACTTGTGCTTCCCAGATGGACAGAGTGATATCCCTGAAGTTTAACTGACTTGGTGTTTATACTGTGATGATTAAGTGTGATGATTAAGTGTTCCTTTAATTTCTTTTGAGCAGTGTATATACAACTTATTCCTTCTACTTTGGCTGGCAGAGGCACTGTCTGTCAACAACTCCATTTTGATATTTCATGACGCCACTGCTTGTGTACTCTCATAAACCGGTCAGATGTGCAAAATGAGACAGACTGAAGGAAGAATACAACAGCCAGGTCAATGAATCACACAGCAAAATGATGGAGAAGTCCTCTTCAGTTTAATTAGTCCAGCAGCCAATTTCTAAAATGGATATATAAAAGTAGGGACTTCACTAACACTGATATGACAAAAAGAGTGAAGAGGTCAGATTTGGGCTTTTATTTCACAGTTTGTTACTTGATCACTGTCATGACTCCTTTACTGGGACTGAAAATGTCACACAGCAGGAGAGAACCTGTAAGGTGGACTGATATTTATGAAACATTATAAAGGGATTGAGTAAATAAAAGGGGCTGAGTTATTATGTGATTGTCTGTTGATAATCTTGATCAATGTTTTTCTGTTATGTGTTCTAATTTAATCATATGGATTTGAAGTAGTATTAAAAAAAAAAAGAATGAAGTATGCAACTCAAGTGAAGGGGTGCATAAACAACAACCATAACATAAGAAGGGAAAATGTTGGGGTTAACTAAACTTTTTAAATCAATACCAACATACTGAAGCCAATCCAAAACTCAGTTCTGTAATGGAATTGTACTAAACTGACATGTCTCCAGAGGTACTGCTATTAGCTATCTACACACTTTGATTTCAGGTACCAGATCAGGCACACATGCCTTTTCTTTTAAAAACATCATGCTTGGATCTGGTTTCTGGAGACAAAAATAAAAACTAACCCAAAACACAACCAATCATCACTTTTACAAAATGTCACTATACATATAATACCTCCAACTCAAACTCTGCATTTATATACAATACAAAACTGCCTTAAATCCTTCTCTCCTAGAATCTATAAATGCTGACATGTGGTACAGGGCATACAACAACTTAAAAACATTAAAACAACTTAAACATTAAAACATGATGACAAAAGTTTGGTGCAAAAGAAAAGGAAACTGTTCGTCAAAGACGAAGAACATACATTTAAGTTGCGTAACAATATCAAGTTCACAGTCCCCCTTTTATAACTGATGTGGCAAATCATGTTTTGATGTAGTTCACCTCTTGACCATTTGAGTTTTGTCATAGCAACAACAAAGGCTGCTGCTGAACGCACTATCCTGTTTTGATGAGGTACAGTTTAATAGCAGTCCCAGTCTGTTTTCTCCTCGTACTCTTTTCTTTTCTCCCTCTAACCCTCATTCCCTCCTGTTTTTTTCTGAAGGCATTCAGGTGAATTTCTCTTTAGTTCATTTTAAAACACCCATTTACCCATTTATGCAACATTTTTAATTGCGTTCTCATTTAGCTTTTCCATGTATTTCCTAAGATCCTTTGAGTCCCCTAGCTCAATGTCCGGACATACCCATTTTATCTCACTGGTCTGCACTAGTGCTAATGGGGTGAGCACAGGGCATCCGTTACTGGACTTGATGTTAGAAAATGTAGTGAACTTAACCCTCTTTCTTTTGGTGGTGGGTGAGTTAAGTGACTCATTACTGTGATCCCTCCCACTTGAGCTGCATCCTCCCACACCAGTATTATCACGCTGGATCCCTCCATTTAATAGCTGACTACCTTCCTCCAGAGTACCGGCCAGCTCATCCTGCTGCTGTTGCTGAAGACATAGCCCCTCCTCTTGGCCCAGCCAAACCCAGTCATGGGCATGGGGCATTGCTTCTGGGGCCTCCATGGACAGCTGCTTGCTGCGGTACTTGTATGCATAAGAGATGCAGTTAATAAGAAAAACCAGAATGGCCAGACAGAAGACTCCCAGCAAAGCATACATGCCAATCTCTAGGTCTGTCAGGCTTCGTCGGGATGGCAACGAGTCCTCATCAGTGCTGCGGCTCCGAGGAAGATCAGCCTGGTCTGGATATTCAGAAAATTCACTTGGGACCCTTGCCCCACTGTCCACCGCTAAACGGCCCCCATTAGGCCTAACTGGGATATTGCCCCTAATGGTAGTGGCTCCACGGTTGATTAACCCAGTTTCCATGTCAGAGAGAGATCCACCATAATATGGGGGATCAGGACGTGCTCGTCGGTCACTTGGTTGTCTGTATTGATCCTCTGGCTGACCAAATCTTACCTGTATGTTTGCGGTTCCAGTGGCTATAACAGTACCTCGTCGGCCCTTCTGACACACTTCAGATGGATTCATTTCAACACGCACAAGCAAACCCTGACCTTCACCCTTGGCAACAATAATGGGCCACTTCCATGTTGTGCTGTGCTGCACTACCACCACCTGTTCATCCAGTGAGGTAGCTACCAGGGTAAAATGTTCAGAGTTATAGTTGTCTAAAGGAGTCATAGATCCATCACTGAATTGGAGCCAAGCACTGATGAGAGACTCCTAAGAAATTAGACACACAGACAAACAGAAATTAGTATAAGAGCATTAATCTAGTGTGGAAGTAACCCTTGAAACTCCAAAAATAGTAAACAGCAGATTTCCCAGAAAAACATAAGGATAGAAACTAAAACAGAGGAACTTGTGTGAAGGCAAAGTTAAACATTAATTACAGTAGAAAGGCTCATTGTAACAATTGAATAAAGTGGATATGAAACTATTCTCTTTAAATCCAGTCTTTTTTTTTCCTAGGGGTGAGACTGTAGTTCTCCTCTATTTGAAATTGTAATTACAGGCATAACAGAGCTGTTCACTGGTTGGATATGCAAATCAAAGGGAGGGCATCCCTAGATAAAGAGTGAATTACTTGTAAGAAAAATTACTAAGCACATCATAGACTTCATAATAACCCTAATCCAACTCAGGACTTGTAAGCCAAATACATTGCAATACAGTGCTAATAGAGTAGAGATTAGACTTTCCTGCCTCTTATGGCAAGTTAAGGAATGCTTAATATTGCTGCAAGATATATGGGGGTCTTGGACCTGTACCTGCTTCAGTGATTCAATCACTTCCTGTGTGGTTGCAGTGGCAACGATGGCCCTGTTGCTTCCTGGGCTGAGCTGCAGGGACAGAGAGAGGCCAGATACCAACTGCACTCCCAGCTCTGTCACACTTACTTTATCATCCAGCACCCTGATGCCCCTCTCAGCCAAGACCAACGATGTGAGAGGGGACAGCACCTGCAACACATGCAAACACTTGCTACTATGGTAGAATTCAATGATGATGACATTGTTACTGAGAATAAAAGAATAGCCAGTTTACTAGCAGCCATGTTATTGACAGTGATGTCACTTTGGGTCATTTTTTTGTCCTTTCCTGGAGCCCTGCAAACCAAAGCCTGCTCTCTAGCAGAGAGATGCCTTTGTACTGTAGTTCCTTCTTTGAATTTAGTCATACTGAAATGGAATGCCATCTCCTTGTTCAACCAGTATTATAAAACTACTTTAAGATACATACTGTACATATTGTCATAGTACACTGCCTTATCTCATATGTCTCTGCCTATGCTTCACAAGTCCTCCCAACTGAACAGCAATGTAACTGCCCTCCAGAATGACATGTGTTTTCTGATCTGACACCCTTACAAATTTAAATCAACTGGAAAAATAAATGTGATTTTATGATGTGACAATGGTACAGTATGGTTTAGGCACTATAACAGCTTGGTTAGAGTTTGGAAACTGGATTATCTTAAGGCCAGTATCTCACTAAGGTTTAAAAATCTACTTTGGTTTGGGCTAAATTTGCTACTTTAACATTAGGGGACCTTTGTGTCTTGGTTACAATAAAAACAACATGGTTAAGGTCAGTCGGGTTTTGGTAGTTTCCAATTGCAAAGTCTTGTTTTGTTAAGTTTGTCATAGTTACTTGGTTAAAGAATTAATAAAATAAATATACATAATGTTGATGGTAGTAAGGCGGCAGTGGTGCGGTGGTAGAGCAGTCATCTCCCAACCAGAAGGTTGAAGGTTTGAATCTCGGTGCCAGCAGCAGTCCACGTGTCGGTGTCCTTGAGCAAGACACTGAACCCCCGTTGTCCTCGATGGCTAGAGCCATCAGTTGAAGTGGCGCCACAGATGGCTTCCTTGTGTGTACCATACTTGGCCAATAAAGGTGATTATCCTATCCTTAATCTGGAAATTGTTTCCTCATTTGTTCACACATCCATCTGTTTCAACCTATTCTGTGAACCTGGTCACACTATAGTTCCATTACTTCATCCTTTGCTCCCAAGACTCATAATTTGTTCTCTGAATATAAATCTCACTATATTTCTTTTGGTACTGGGCAATAAAAATATATCTAAATGTAAAAAAAAAAAAAAATTGCACTACTCTTGTATGCTGAACTCTGTATTTAGTAATGGGGACCACATGCCTAATGTAGTTTTGACTCTATTAACAAATTGTCCACCTCCTTCAGTTGCCATAGGTGTAAGCATGTAAACAGTTGTGATATTGTTATGCGATGAGAAGCCCTACCATCCGTTCTAATTACGACTCCAGTCTCTTCCCCAACCTGCCCCCACACGGCTGCCTTTGCCAGCCATATCAGCACTGATCGCTGCCTCATTTGTGCAGCCCCTGTCCCTGTTTTCTTCCTTTTGGTTTAGCTCTTTTTAAATTCCCTTTTGCTCTTCTCACAGTGAAACTGATATCTGAAAAAATTAAACAGCAAAAATTTGTGTAGTATCAAAACATTGGACATGTGGTTTAACCTTATCTCTGAGATGAAGGCAAAGTTAGAGAAGCAGAATGGACATGACTGTGAAGCTGAGATTTTCCCACTTACAAGTACTGTAAGCATCTCAGTTTTTTTTAACTTTTCCTTTTTTACATAGCTAAAGGAAATGAAAGTAGCAATGGCACACAGTGTTGTTCATTTGACTTTCCTCTGGAGTTAGACAGGCTTCGTGGGCTGCTGGCTTGTTGTGAAATGAAACCTAGACAATGATTCATTAAAATGTAATTTATTAAGGCTCTGGCTGCATACCTAAAGTTGCCAGTTGGCACTTTAGGCAGCAAGAGATTATTCTAAATCCATCATCATACTTGCTTTGAGTCTTTAAAATCCTATGTAAATAAATTAAGCTAATTTCAAAATATTCTGTTTTGCTAACTTGGAACTTAAGGTACTGAAATATAGCCAAATAAAGGAGTACCTAAACATAGGAAATGTCACCTTGTCTTAGCAGCAGAAACTGCTTCCAAGAATGGGGAGGGGGAGTACTGTATCCTTCTAAAGATACAAGAATGCACCATCTAGAAGTCCTACAGAATTCTCCACAAGATGTCAGTAGTGTTTCTGCAACCTTCAGATAGATCAGTATTTCTCTTAACCCCAACTAGATACTAACAAATATTCAGGCTTTCTACTGCTCTCGTCTCAGAAGTCAAGGCTCTTTTTCTTGATTTGGTGGAAGTCAGATGCCTTCTTCTCTCCATCATAAGTCCTTTTGTTCAACGTTGAGAAATGGAGTGTGTCTCCTCCACGCTATTAGAGACTGCTGGTCCTTTCTTTGGCCTACATCTGTAGTTGTGAGATTCTCCCACCTGACTTCCAGACATGTCAAGTTAATGTCTCAAACCAGTTCCAGAGTTTCATTCCACCCCTGGAGAGCAATTAAAGACCCCTTCCAGGCATCCCTCCTTGCTATTCAAAGCTGTCAATCTAGCCTTGAATAAGTTCTGTTCAAATCTCAGGGGGCTTTCACTCCCTGACCCACCAGAATCCCATTTGCACCTGGATCTAGTCTGGTGCAACCAACAATATTGCATACAATCCAATGCTGTCAAGACCACGTCTTTCTGACTCCTCATACTGGCACTTATGCAAAAGGTTAATAAAAACTGTATTTTATATGCAAGTCATCTCTGTAAAACGTCAAAAAGACGGTGCTTAAATGGATTCATTTTTTTCTCCTGAAGCACCATTGAATTTGCAGCCCAAATAACCAATTCTATGCCCCTTATGGAATCACCTAATACCACAGTGGTCTTTGAAACCCTTAGCTTTCATATAAATGCCAAATCCAAGTCCTTTATTCTAATTCTCAAGATTTGAACCAAATAAATTTTGTGTGTTACATATTTAAGAAATTTGGACATACTGCATATTAGCAGTGTTTCTTGGATAATTTAAGTTTACAGTTCTTTTTTTACAATGTTTATTTGCTTAGTGTTTCTCTGGGTTTGACTTTCTGACAATATGACTTATGAAAGCACCATGAGTGCTGTTCACCAGTGCACCTCATGTCAGATTGTGGAGCTTCCTAACCAGCACGTGGACACATAGCAGGTGAGCAGTAATACTGCAGAAATTGGTCCACATTTTTAATTTGTATTACCAGAATAAATTTTTGGAAGAACAATTTAATTACAATCTTTGTCCTTTCCATATTTCTCCTTTCACAGTGTTTGAATTAAGAAATTCAAGAAGAACAAGCCAAATATTTAAAAACAGCGGCGATACTGAAATGACTTGTTTTTGGAAAATTCGAAAAGCCACTCAAACATGTAGACCTAACCCTAGTGGTTCATCAAGCTGATTTGATGCTTTGTTTTGTGTGTTTGTAGGATTTCTCTGGATTAAAGCTATAGTAGCATTAGCATGAAACGCCAAATCATCCCACTCTACTGCATGCAGCACTCCCTCTCCCTTTTTCACTATGCTCTACTACGATCTGTCACACTCTGCTCAACTCTTCAGATATTTGTTATTATGAAATTTACAAGAAATGAGTGCAACAAAACGTACTGATCAAGCAGACGTAATTGAAAATCGCTGACTGGTTAGAGAGATCAATCCTGCTCAAAACCTTTTAGAAGCTAATGTCTCTGCACTGCCGCCAGTGTTGTTCAGTGACTCTGGGTCACAGGAGGCTTCTGCCATACCTCTCCACATTAAGACAAGATTGGTAGCATGCCTACAACAAATATTTGGAAAAAGTTACATGCTGTAGCTTTAAGATCAGAAGCTTTGTCCTAAAATGAAAACATGCTCTTGATTTAAGTGACTTAACCTTCTCACAGACTCGCTGAGTAGCATAGTGTTGTAGTAGTGAATCCTGAAACCTGCAACTGAGCATTTTTGCACATCTGGTTCCCTTGCCACCAAAGTCAGTGAGTTTTGTATTTATTCTTTTTATATGGGTTTTTGGTTAGACACCTAAGTAAGGTCTGTGGGTAACACAAAGTGACAGCATTTTCACTTTTTATTCTATGTCTGTAAATACCCCACTCATGATGTTTATGCTTTTGTGTCTTTAAAAGGTTACTGGCTAAATGAGACTACAGAGGTATTTTGGATGTTAAACATCATTTCACCAAATATGGAGACTCAGCTAGTCTGCCTTTATACCCTTTTACTGTGTTTCTACTTGTGCAGCTGCAAACTATTCTGACACAACCATGATCACTAGCTAGATCAGGTCACACTAAGAGAAAGGGATGTTGTAGAAGAGGTAAGTGTGCTAGATCAAATTACAAGTTGGAGGCTGTGGTGGTGATGTTAAAGCATGAGACCATGGAGTAGTTCATTTATAACCTAACAATAGCTTTTCTATTCAAGCGATTGTATTTAGGCTTAAAAAATTGAATTGGTGTTCATTCGTGCAGATTATCTTGCTCAGCAAAACATGCAAGTGTTACATACTTGTGTTTGTCACAGAGCGTATTTTCTACAATAACCCAAAGGCCTGGGGGAGGGGACCCACTGGCTATTTGTTGATGGTGATGCTGATTTCGGGGTTGGCCTACAAAAATACACCATCCTTATGGCACTCTATAACAAAGACTAGACAGAAAACATAACTGACACTTATAGTAGAAACCTGCACTATTAAATCATGACTGTTCAGTGGGTAAAATTAAGCTTGATGTTCAGTTATGTAATGATATACATTTCAAAACGGATACACTCAGTTTGTAGGTGACGGTAATAATGCACTCAACGCTACAGTAGATAAAGCTGCACTGTGGATAGGAGCCAAAAATGATCAAATTATGCTTTCATTGCTACAGAGGCATTCCATAACTCCTATGACTTCACATTCCATTTATTGTTAATAATAATTAAACATTTTATTTATACAACGCTTTTTAAGACATTCAGACACTTTACAGATGGCTTTTTTTTTGCAGACCCTTTTTGGTTGTTGCGGTGGTTGTAGGCCGCTTGGATTTAAGTGTCAGCAAGTGAAACACACGTGAACCAAACAAATCAGTCTCCTGAAAACAACTGTCAATACTCCCGAGTCTGCATAATTGTTTGAAATCTCTCCAACAGTGAAACAGCACTTTATTGCACATAACATGCAACAACTCATGCAGTGCACACAGCTCTTCAATTGATGAAGTAGGAGATTATTATTCCACTCTAGTTTTTCCACATTGTTGCTCTGTGTTGTGCTGTTTTGAAAATGCATGATTGATAAGGATAACCACCTTTATTGGCCAAGTATGTTACACACAAGGAATTTCTGGTACAGAACCGATAGCAGCCATCTGCAGCGCCAACTCAACTGATGGCTCTGACCATCGAGGGCAATGGCAACGGGGGCGGGCGGGTCAGCGTCTTGCCCAAGGACACTTCAACATGTGGACTGCAAACACCGAGATTCGAACCTTCAACCTTCGGGTTGGGAGACGACTGCTCTACCCACCGATGTTGATTGATTTGATGTTGATTTACAATTTGAACGGGCACATGCTCCGTTCTGAGCAACCACCTGGTTATAGTATTAGATCCATGTTTGATTCAGTGTGTGCGCATCTCATAGAGAGTGAGACATTGCAGAAGTGCAAGGTTTTGTTGAACGTGCCATAAAGTCTTGGTTTTCTGTCGGCTCATGATTGGCTTAAGTGTTTCCACTGCCAAACGTATGCTATCCTGCTCCATACTGTCTCTAACTTAACTCTGCCTTTTTATTTATCAAGGTGTACTGCTGAAAATGTGTAAATTACGAACTTAAAGCTACATGCATTTGGGGACAAGATCTTAAACTCTAAAACCCAGACTCTTAACATATTATTGCATTAGACTTTTGCCGTGCTTTGTGAACATTTTCTGGCTGCCTAATGAGTGTAAGTCCAATATTTATAACTGTTTATAAATGTCGGTCTCTAAAAAATGTAGTGCCTTGATGATAATACTAACCAGGTTCCAGACATCTCTATCACTGCTTGTATGGAATATTTTTCAGAATGTTCAGTACTGTAGATTTGGTGTTATGATCAATGAAAAGCTTTTTATTTGGTTGGAAAAACATCTCGGCTAATTAGCACTATGGGATTAAGAATGGAGATGTCATCTTGTGACAGAGTTGTAAAGTCAGAATAATTGCCACACAAAAGGCAATAAACATGAGATTTGATGCGGCTTTGCAGATTGTTACAGAAGTAATAACTTTTAAATCAGCATATTTTATAGATATGACAAATGTTTAGTTGGCTACTTCTAGCACCTTCTGTGTTGACTGAAAATTGTGTTGACAAGGCAGATGTATCAGTTACTGTTGATTGGCTGGGGCAAAAAGGAACCCCCCCCCCCCAGCGTAATATGAATGTCAGTGTGATGTTAGATTTGAGTAATGAAGAGAAAATTAAATGGCAATCCAGTTTCATTATTAGGCTACCAAAACGTACACAAAATACTGTACACACACAATACAACCTGTAGTTTGGTGTTCCCAGCACTCAGTCCTATTAGGACTCGGCCCTCTAGCAGCTGGGCAACCTTCGGGTCCTCCACCCTCAAAGAATCCTTGACTAGCTGTGTCACTTCCACCTGCCAGTCACTGCCCAGGAGGAAGTTCTGCTGGCCCAGCCCGTCCTCCTCTGCGGCTCCTCTTATTTCTTCATCATCTGCCACAAAGTGTGTGAGAACACGTAGTGTTGTGCTCTGATACTGGGCCACACAGCTGTTCTCTGTTCTCTCCTCTGCTGTGGCACCACTGTCCTTGTCATCTGTGACTCTTTCATACCTTAAGGAGTAGGAACAAAAACCATGAATCGGTTACTTATAACAGTGAGTGGCAATGTTTGAGGTAGAAGCCACTGCCTTTTGTTTAGAGAAGTCCTCAGGAGAGAAAGATACTTTAAAAGCTAACACCAGCGTAATTCATTTTTTCTTTTCACCATTAATGCCCACAAAGTCTAAATCCTCTAACTGCTGTCAAAGCCTCTACTGACTGTTGTGCTGTAGGTTTGTCTTACCCTCCGAAAGTCATATGCTTCCAGTGTTTTCAAAACGGCTTGAAGAGACAAACTGCTGCCTTCGTTGACTTCTCATTTCCTTTAAAAGGGCAGCTGATATTTTGCTGTATGTCTGCCATTTATTTGGCCCATGGCAAACACTTTGCAGATACAGCCATCTCAGAAGATATACTTTAACTAATGAATGTTTGCAAACCCCGGCAGTGGAATTTTGTGAAACATTCAGGCTATTATTTTGGTCCTATTTAAGTCAAGTTTATATAGCCCTTTATCACATTAACAGAGCCCAGAAGGTAGGAAAGGCAGAAGGAGAAAATAGCCCTCTAATGTGAGAAACTGGAGAATTTCTGCAAAGGAGAAGGCATCTAAACAGTGATACACAGAGCCAGTGCAGTTTATAGAATAAATATGGAATTCAGATGTGTTCTTTCTGGCATAAAAAATGTAATGAATTTAGGCCCTAGTTCCAATGATTGTATTCTGCTCTGCTGCATTGTCTTTCCTAAGCAGTTTGTCTTGCACTAAATTCTGGTTAATTAGGAAGTATATCCCAAAAGTTGTAGGTTCCAATACTTTCCGAAAATACATTAAAACTCGTTGTAGACACAAACTGTGCCTGTGGCTACTATAATACATCACATTAAACAATGACATAATGTATTTAGTTGGTTTCCAGGCTGAGCTGTGGTAGCACTCCAGCAGTGAGTTAAAATGTGGCCTCAGGACACGGATCTGCTTCAGAAAACCATGCAGACAATGAAAAGAAACATTACTATGACTGTTATGCATGTACATCACTCTCATCATCATCCATCACTCTCTATCTCTAGATATGGGCTCATTTTATTGTTCTATGCATTGTGATAATCATCTCTCTCTCACTCTATATTCCTCACATCAGTTTTTAACTTTCCTGTAATCTATTTAACTGTTACTGTGCTTTTCTCTCACTCTGATCCATTATTTTCTTGTTCTTTTGAGTCCTGCCTGCATCCCTCTCTCTACCAGTCAGGTGGCCAGAAGGAGCGACAGTGACAGTTTCCATTAGGTGTAATGAGGCATGCTGGTCAAGCAGAAAAACAGGCTGACAGGTTAACATGCTGAGGCCCAGTGACTTGGCTTAGTTCCTAACCTCCCCTCACCCTCCCCTTCCCTTATTCAACATGAGTGAAGGGACAGCAATCTGAACCAAGGTGGCATTTGTGGCTGGCAACAGAAACATGGGGTCAGGTCATTTGTAGCAGTGAGTGATAAGTCAGCGAAGGTCTCGATGTAGTAAGATGACCTATGTGTGTAGGTTAACACAAATGTTGGCACACTCACACTGATAAATTTATGCAAAGTTTCATATTTAGCTTACTAAAGATTTCCTTTTTTCTCCTACTAATATACAGCATTCTTCATGCTGTGATGCACTTGACAGACATGACTGATGTGATTCGATGTGGATAGCGGGGGGTATTTGTGTTGGTGCTGCCCAGTGGGGTGTGGGCCAGTGGGAAATGACACTGGTATGACTTTGTGGCAGGATGTACTTTCAAAAAACATTGGCAACAGTTGATGTTAAGTCCCTTTGTTTAGCATTTATAAACAGTATTATATATTATTTAGTTAATGGTTTCTAATGTGAACTATTTGTAAGCACACTGTCTAATATATTTGTCTTCTACTGTAACACCTCCTGTGGACACAGTGGAGGCTGAGGTATGGACAACGGATGACATCATAGTAAAATGGTTTTAATTATACAAAATGTCTCCATAGGAGACATTATATTTGCTGAAAATATGTACATTAACAGCTGTGTGTTAATGTTCTGAACCATTTAAGTGTTTGATTACTGCTTTTCAGTATTAAATGAGAGGTTAAATTAAAAGGGTAGCAAAATATTTTATGTACAGATGTTTCATAGGTAATAGGTTTTAATGATGTTGCATTTGAAATGTGCTGATCATCCTAATTTAGAAAAGAATAAGAAAAGCTGCATCTTGAACTTGAATTATCAATAATACAATAGAAGGTGTCAAAGTGAGGGCTAAATGTCATTGTTTTATGAAAACCTTTCCATTTACAGTACATTGAGTTCAAGTAATGAACATTAACACTCATTCATTAGAATAAATCACTGACATCAACATTTCACACAATGAATTGTGCTTGAATGTAATTTCCTGGCACTGGTCAAAGGGGGTAAATGCTGGGACATTTTAGTTCCTTTTAACATGATGAACTTGAGTTTCAGCACTTTGTCTTCACCATAGTCATTGTCATTATGATCACAATGAAGAATAGATATTTTAAATGTAAATTAGTCAGTGTCCTTCACTCTTCATCTGTTTTAACTTTAATATGGTTATTTCTATTTGAATCACCTATATTCTTATTAAAAGAATATACATTGCACGAATTATTGTACACTGTCACTTTTCAGCCTCAAGAGTTTTGTCCACTCTCTAATTCTTAAAATTATTACTCGTTTCTTATTCAGCATAAGCACCTTTTGGGAGACCAGTCCAATAAATTATTAGGCACTCATTATACCACCTCAGCAGCTGCACCTGCATTTTATGCCTCGTGTGTGCGACAAATCTACCAAGCCAATTTATCATAGCCTCCATTCATTTTACCAATTGAGGAATGTGACTCAGATTCTAATGCAGAGATTGTTAAAAACATCTCAGGTTAATGGGCTAAATAAAGACATTTGGACTTGTCCTGGAATGGTTTTAAAAAAGCCAACTTGTGCTGTGCTAGGAAAGCTGCTGATGCAGCACTTCATGATCACATGATATAACATGCAGCAGATGCCGTCAGACCTTACCTCCTGCTGCCCGTACTAACAGGAACCCTCCAGCCCTTAATCTGGCTGAGCTCGGGGTCGGCCACATCGATGAGCAAGGGCAGACGGGGCATCCATACACTCATCTCCAGCTGGGCACTCAGAAAACTGTAGGTGAAGTTGAGCATCACTCTGCTCTTTCCTCTTGTCTCTTTCCCATTTACATAGACATAGTCACATCGCTCAGACACCTGAAAAATAAGAGAGAATTGACAGAGAGATGGACAAAAAAATCAATTTCAGAATAAGTAGGCAACGATTTTCAAATTTTTGATAAGAATTTTTATGTCATGTTTCTAAAGCTAATTTGACTGCTTCAAAAGATTATCTTCTGTTCCTTTGTCTTTTGTTTTTTTAGTCGAGAGAATCTTTTGCAACGCTGATGAGTGGAAATGTCTGGCATTGTTTCAGTGAAACCTGTCAGGACTGCTCAGTTTCCTCTGTGCATGTTTGTGTGTACTGTAGGTGCATGCAGGCGCATCTTTAATGTGTCTGCGTGTGGGGTAATGTGCGACTTTGGTCCAGCTTAACAGATGGAGCTCCAAAAAGACACAAAACCGCTTCATCCAACCAATGAACAAAACACTCATTCAAGATTAATTATGATTGGCTGAATGATATACAACTACAGTCAGGTTTTTCAGATGCATCGCCAACACAGAAGTGATATAACAGCAACATCGGAAAAGTCTGTCATTATCTTCAAAGCACCAAAATCTCCTCATCAAACATTTTTTGCTCATACAAGTCTGAGAACCAGAACTCTTTAACAATCTGTCACTGAATTTTGTTTGCAATCACTCACATTTCAATTCATTTAAATCTCAAATACCATCACAAGTGTGATTGGCACAACTAATAATTTCTGCACGGCCTCGGTACCGAATTGCTGCTTTATAACAAACCAGTCACAGTTGAGATTGTCATCCGTCTCTTCTTCTTTGCATTTAACTTGGCAGCTTTACTCTCAAATGAAGGCAGACCAGCCCCTATCTCCAAGGAACAAAGCTCAGTAGCTGTCATTTCGCTCTCCCTCCTTCTCCCTTTCCTCTTTCTCTCTCTTTCGCCATCACCCTCAGTCTATGACAATATTACTCTAGATCTTTTGTGTTACTTTCTGTAATGAGAACAGGTTAAAATCTAACTGGCAGAAGGTTTAAGATGGTGTTTCATAAATCAAATTAAGATTGTTTGGTATGGTGTAGTGTCATGAGAGAAAGTGAAGGTCATATTTTTAGGGCTTTTAGTGTTAGGGCTGAAATTAATGGCAAACACTGATTAGTTAACCAGAAAATAATCAATAGTTTATAAATAATACATTTAAAAATCACTGACAAATAAACAGTAGTCAGTTTCTCACTCTTTATGCAATTTGCCTTTACTGTATATATAAAACTGATACAGGCAGTGGAGAGAAAAATATAATTCTCATACTTGCTTGTACACTAGCTACTACAAGAACTCCTTACAATTTTTATCCTTCAAAAGCATGAAGCAGCCTAACGGGACTGAGTTTTGACTGAGTGTGACTGGTTTTAACTTTAGAGTAGGATGCCTTGAGGGAAATCCACACTGTGACTTCACTTGCATAACTCATTCATCTACTTGCAGTATATGAACAGACAGCGGACAGAGGAGCGCTGCACTTCTGTCCTCACAATGCAGTATGCTAGGTGTACATGCAAACTTGGTAACACTTTTTTTTTCTTTCAAGAATTGCACGTGTGTCCTCACTGTTGCTGAACAGTGAATGTGTTTGGCATGAGGAGTTGATAATGGACTTTATACTTTATGTAAATTAGGCTAATTGTGAGGTGAGTGCACGTTGGAAAAAAATGAAGTCAGCGGAGTGCACAAATAGACAACATGCACTAATGTGCAGGCTTTCAAAAGGCAACCATCCAGAGAGCGAGCTAAGAGAATCCACTTCACTCCTCATTGTCTCTTAAGCCTCACCTCAGTGTTCCATCCTTTTTTTTCCTGTTCATTTTGTCTCTCCCTGTCTTTCACCGCAATGCTGAAATCAATTTAGTTCAATCCTCCACTACCTTTCAATCTCTAGCTTTGTTCTCACTTTGTTTCTACTTTCAAAATCCAGCTTTATTTTTCCATATGATAGGTTTTGCAGCTGAGAGGGAGAGAGACATGATAACCACAATGATATAACTGAGATCTCTGGAAGGTGCTGCATGACTGATATCTATAGCCTTTTTTTTATCACCATGAATGCCATAAAACAAATCACAAGACACTGTCACTACTTTTATGGAAACGGTTCATTGTGTTTCTAATTTTGCAGACTTGGAATTGATCGAGATCAACATGCACTGGGTATAGCATAAGTGGATGAGTTTGACTCAAACAGTAAAATGGTAAATAAAGAATATCCACTTTTTGAGAGAGAGAGTTATTTAAGTCTCTCAGTGCTGTACTGGGACATTTTTGCTGTAGGCATTGTCAAAGTTATTTAAGCTTTACTTTAAAATTGTCTTATTGTTTAGCTGAAATCCAGAACACTGAGCATAACTGATATTTTTATTCCTCCATGTTGGTGACAGCCGTGCCTGGAGGCATTACAGTTTAGGGTTGTTTGTCCATCTGTCCTATTCTTGTGAATGCCATATCTCAGGTACACTTTGAGGGAGTTTCTTAAAATTTGGCACATATGTTCATCTGGTCTTGAACGATGAACTGCAGTCAAAGCCTCGATATGACTTGCAAATCAATCAGAAATGGCAAGGGCCCACTGGGTTCTGTTATTTATGGTCTTACTTTTTAAGGTACTGTGTGTCTCATGACCCTGATATCAGGTAGAGTAGACACCTGGCATCAGAAGTGAAAACCCTAACAGCTACTTTACCCAAGCTCATCAGCATGGCTCAGCAGACGACACAGGTGCGTGTGTGTGTGTGTGTGTGTGTGTGTGTGTGTGTGTGTGGTTAGGTCCTTGTGCAGCTGCACAACATTGTTTAGAGGGTAGCATTTCAACAGAAGAGGACAGACATATCACAATGGCTCTGTCAACCAAAATGGGTATTGTCTGCAGCTTGTTTTAAGGATTTTACTTTATTGTTGTTGTTGCTGTCAACTTCGCATTTAAGAGTGGTGACCCAGCGGAAGCCTTTTCTTACCCTAACCTACTCACAATTGCAGTTGGGACTTCCTTGAATGCCAAGGACCCTTTTCTTAAAACAAATTGTTTAGAGCTAATAATAACAGTGTGATTGTTTCTTGATGGTTTTGTTTTAATGAGGAAGTCTCTTGCCAGAATGGTGGTGATTAAACTTCAGATCATTTTCTTACTTAATCAATTGTTCTATAAAATGTGAGAAAATGCTTATTTTGTCCAAACGAGTTCAAAATATATTTAGTTTATTATAATGCAAGATTTAAAAATTAACAAATATTCAATTTTGAACAACTTCAACATTTAAATCATTAGCATTTTTGCTTTAAAATGACTTGAATGACTAAGTGCTTATTAAATTAGGTTATTTTTCTGTCACTTTTCGGCTTTACAATCAATATGGTTATTTTGAATGCTTCAATACCGTTTTTAGGATTTTGGGGTAGGTTTTGGGTAAATTACTGTAGGTCACCGTGGCCAGAACATCAGTGGGGGAAGCTGGAGATCTGCTTTGTTCAAAAAGTATTTTTAAGTTTCCTTTGAAGAGAGGGTGGGAACCACTTGGTGTTCCTAAACCAGTTTGGTGGGCAGGGGAGTATGATACCGAGGCCGACACCACAATGTGTGGCCCTACTTCAGTAGATAATTGAACCCTTTGAGATGTCTGCCTCTTCTCTTCTCTCTGATATGCATGAACAGTACACAGAAACTCTCAAATTCAGCTCCTCAATGTAACACAGACACAGTTGGAACACATTTCTTTTTCTGTCACACATACAATTAAGAACAAACTGTTTCTTTTTCACTCTTCATGACTTTTCACTCTTCTCCTTTTGTACAGGTTGAAGTACGTTTCCCAAAGCATTTAAGGGTTTAAATTTGAAAACAAACTTTGTAAAAATCTCATGAAAATCATTTTGGAGAAATCTGAAATTTACTAAAGAGGAAATCGATCACAGTGAACATTTAACCTTTATGGTTTGTCAAATTTATGCTGCAGACTGCAGTGAAATAGAAAATAGGGCTGGGGCAGCAACACTTCCTGTTTTGGCACCAAGCTGCTGTTGTGTTGCCTCATATCAGATGAGTAGGTAAATGTCAGGTTATGAGATGATCAACATTCATATAATCTCAATGGACCTAAGACATAATGATGTAACAATGTTTACTGCAGCATTTTTTTGTGGGAAGGTTTGGATGACATAATGTGTGGTATCGCTGCAAGTAGTGACTTGTAACATTAACGTTCATTCACATGGAAAAATTATCATAAAAATCTTAAAATGGTTTTTGTTAAATGCTGTATGCCATTGTATGTATCAAGCACACGCCAAACACCAGTGCTGCATTTTTTTTTTCCCCCCCAGCTTCCATGATATGGCAAGAGGCAATGGAAATGGATCAGAAACAAGACCATCAAACCATTTTAAGATCTTTTTGACAATTTTTTTTTCATGCAAATGAATGTTAATGTTACTTGTCATTGCTTGTAGCGATAGCGCCGGTTGTCATCCCCACCTTTCACCCACAATGCACCATGGTAAACATTGCATTACATCATTGTTTTAGGTAATTGATAAACATGGCATTTTGAAAGAAACAGTAGGTGCTGTAAAAAATACTGTATGTGGTTTCTATGATGGTGTTCACCATAAATTGCATAAACTTTGAATCTGTATGTGTTGATGGAGGCCCAGGAATGCATACACACAAACAGTTTTAAGCACAACTGCAGGGAAAAATACTCACCTCCAGGAGAATGTGCAAAGATTTCCCCTGATGATTGCTAATGTTGCTTTGTTTTTTCTTTTACATTTTCTGTGATATTGATCTTTGTCCTGAGGAAAAGCTCTCAATTGCTGGAGAACATTTAACTAACCAAAATTGTCTATTTTACTAAGTACCTGTTTCCTAGACTAATATGCACAACCCAATTACACACCACAACTACCTTTTGTTCATTCTGCTCACCCAGCCGTGTACCATTAGAAAGCTGAACATGGAGCAGAAGGTAACAAAGATAAATTGGGCAAGATAAAATAAAAAGCAGCTGCTCAAAACACATGCCCCGCTGACCTTGATAACCTGTTCATCTGTTGATTTGCACTCCACTGACTCCGTAACATCAGAAACCGCTCCGTCTGTCCCCACGGTGACTACCTTTACTGGTACGGCGACTGTACGCCCAGAGAGGACAGCTGTGTTGAGGATTTCTGTGTCCTGCATGAGAAAACAAATCAAATCAAATCAAATCAAATCAGTACTACTGTACCAACAAACTGACAGAACTAACAATTCTGACTAATTCTGAAGTTTTGAGGTTATCAATATTGATGATAAATAAATACTATACATTTTTAATAAGCATGCCTTAGTCATTAAATTGGGGTGTGTTAATACAATGTAAATAAGACTGCCATAGCAGTGATAGTAGGTACAGTTTAATGGAACTACTTCAACTATTTCTCCCTTGTTGTCTGTGTTTGTGCTAAGCTACAGTATATGCCTTCCAGAGGTACCTTTGTTCTAAACATACAGTAGATTAAATTCATATTGGCGTTTTGAAATGTATATTTAAATACAAACAAATAGAAATGTGAGCAGCCACAAGATGAGCATTACTTGAGACTGTGAACACAACTTTTGATTGGCATTCACATAATAGCAATTGCATTTGTTCGTGTCAACTGATTTTTCCATCAGCTGTTTCATTCATGTGTCAACATCAATGCCTCGTTCATCCTCTGCCTACCAGCTGAATAGTAGCATCCAGTCATGTTCATATAATTTATGTAGCTGGCAGTTTTTATGACACTTCCCAACATTTTGCTGCTGAGACCTTTATGTCAGCATCATTTGCTGCTGCATTTCCTTTCACTATCCACCTCTTCCTTTTTGTATGACTTGTCATAATCTTAGTTGATGTTTCTAGGGGGAGATTAGCACTCTCAGCAGAATCCTTGTTGCTACTCACATTCCTTGAAAGCTTGTACAAAGAGAAGTTCATTTTCGCCAGATTTAACTGTGTAACCTTTTGGTTGAGTGTCTCAGACTGAAATAGGCATCCATCCATCCATCCACCCACCCATTAGCTATACCACTTATCCTTGAGGGGGCCACGAAGGGGCTGTAACCAATCCAAGATGACATTTGGCGAGAGGTGGCGTACACCCTTGACAAGTCACCGGTCTCTCAGAACTGACACATTAGAGACAGACAACCATTCACACTCATTCCTATGGGCAATTTAGAGTCAGTGAATTTAACCTTCATGTTCTTCGATTGAGAGGACACTGGAGAAAAGCCATGCAGGCATGTGGAGAACATGCAAACTCCATCCAATTGGCTGAACTTATTATTTTGTGTGTTCTAATGTAAGTGGATAAAATATTGTAGCACTTTTAAAAACACAATTTACAAAGAACTAAACAGGGGGGGGAAAGAAATGAATAATAAAATATTACACCAGTGGGGGTAAAATAGTCTGTATATTATAAATGACATGAAGGATAATAATAAAGATAATCGCCTTCATTTGGCCAAGTACAGTATGTTACACACTCAAGGAATTTGTTTCCGGTACAGAACCAAGGCAGCCATCTGCGGCGCCAACTCACACCGATGGCTCTAACCATTGGCAACTTGGGGGATCAGTGTCTTGCCCATGGACACTTCGACATGTGGACTGGAGGCACCGTGATTCAAACATCCAACCCTCCAGTTGGGAGATGGCCACTCTACCCACTGAACCACAGTGGCCCCCTGAATAAATCACTCATAGTGCACTGTATTAGTAAATAATATAAATAGGTGGAGAGCAAGAACTGTGAAGTGACCAATTTATACATGTGTGATTTTTAAGATAAACTGCAGCATTGTCATTGGATCTGAGAAGATCTGGGATTACATGTAGTTAAAGATCATCAATATGGAAATTGCACAGTATGTGTGCACTATCATTATAGCAACAGCTGCTTACCATTAATACCTGTATTCATTAAAAGTCCTGTAGCTGATGTTTGGGTGGTTATATTGCCTTCAGAGAAAGAGGATTTTAATTTGCAGTTGTTGAATGCAGTTGCCATCTGAAGGTTTTCACATCATGTCCTCGAGACATGTTCAAGTACTCTAACATGCTGAACAGTGAATATCTACTGCCATAGAGCACACAAGTGTTTGTGTGTGTGCACTTCAGAAGCGTCAAACTCACAATGTGCTCAGAGCTAGGCCTACAAATAATGCTTTGTCAGTGTGTTTGTCAGTTTTTTCTGTTAATTGAATAATAACAAAATGCTTTATTGTGCATTTTGCAGTGCTACTTTTCAAATTACATATTTTGTTTGACCAATCCAAAAGAGTAAATTTATTATACAGTAATATGAAACAGTGAAAAGCAGCAGATTCTTGTATTTGGGATTTTTGCTGGGTAAATTGATGAATGTCTTTTAAATTGTGAACAAATTTATACTTTATACTACTTTTTTTAAACTTACGCAGCAAAAGGAAGACAAATGTGTAAAATGGGTGGAATTCACCTTTTATTGAATGGTGCACAGTGCAATCATTTTAGTCTGTTTTTATAGCTATTCCCCAGAACTAATTTCAGGTCAGTTCACAGTAATACTTGATAGCAAATTCTAGGTGTTCAAGAGATCTTACAAGATACTCTTGAAGGCCTTGTAGGAAGAAGGAAGAAGAAAATGAGATCAATTAAGACAACACCTTCTAATCCTTAAGCTCTCAGGGTGTTGATTGTACAGAGGATTTACTTCAACAGTGGATTCTGCTCATCACAGCTTAGTTTCAGTAAGCAGACTAAACCTTTAAAAGACAAAAAGAACTGGTTTCCAGACACCTCTTTGTTCATCAGGACGGGTGCTGCTGTTTGTTTTGTTTCTTCAACCTGATGTTCTTATTGAAGAAAATAAAGGTAGCATTTAAAGTTCAACTGTAGATAAAGACATCCCAAGATTATATCCGGGTTTGTCTGCCTCATTTTTTCCTCCCTCCTACATCATATTTTACCTGTTTTCTGATAGCTCTCTGGCATCTGTTAGGATGTTATTCCATCTCGATTGCCACTGGTGTACAATTTTTGAAGAATGGGAAAATAGTGTTGTTTTTTTTTTTTCATCCCTCTCTACTGAAGGTGGCAATTTTCAGTTTGGAGTGCAGTGCTGTCATATTTATTTTACAGAAAAACGCCAAATCCTGAATAATGCCAATAGCCATTTTACCACAGGCTGATGTTACAGGAAAGCAAAAGTGTCTTTTTCCCATTACCCTTGAATTGAAATGAAGACCAGGTGGGCCATGAGCTGCCACTGTTGCTTATCAAATATACTAAACCTATTCAACCACTGCCTTTCTTAAACCTTGAAAAGATTACAAAAAAAGTGAAATAAAAAAATAAAGTTCACATTTCTTATTCACCTGTGCTTTGACACCAACAGTGTTATTAACTGTCTACAGGGCTCTTATTTGGGCATCTATTCAGGGTCTTTTTAAAATAAGCATTGCCATCCAATCTCAGCTTATCACCAAGGTTTCCAGGGAAATAATGTTTTAACTTGAATGTTTGCTTTTAAAACTACTTTGGTAAAATGCTTGCAGGTGAGCCCAAGCTTTTTTTAATGTATTTCACTTGTTTTAAATGCGTGAATGACGATCGCAGATTTTTCTCACCGCATTTGTGAGTTTGTTCAGTCTGCCACTTAAAAGTTAGGCAGAGATGAGGTATTGTGTTCTGACATAAACAAGAGGCATTTAGTGCTATTCTGTACAGTATATAGGTGATACAAAATCATTAGGTTTCTAATATATCTCAGGGTTCATAATGATATCTTAGCAGCTTGTGGGAGTATGATAAATGTCTTCTGGTTGATGAGTGTTGGAAAAAATGTATACCGTTCCTCCCACTCTTAGCGTGAATTTAAAAATAATCATTTTTCACAGACTAGGTTCTAATAACATTTACACACGCTGTATGTTATAAAGCTAATACTTGCCATCTGAGACCTACAAATCAGCTGCCATCCCTGTTTCTCAGTGAACAATGGACATTTATTCATAATTATGAGATGGACCTATAGAACACATTCTTTATATTCTGTACTTCTATGTAAAATAGGAAATATCTTTTTTCACTTAATTAGCAATTAACACTGGAACAACACTGTGAAAACGGGTCCTAATGAGCTCCAACAACATGTGGTGTTTGTGCCACCAAGAAATGAATATTGACTAAGCTCCGATATAATGCACACGATCACAAACACACATTGACGTTAAGTGAAATTAAACAAGAGCGCTAGAGTGAAGCATTGGGTACAAAAAGCTTATTAAAGCTTATTCTATGACATTTGCCTACCTCTCGCTGGGTGTCGCCTGCTTGCCTAATACCCTCCTGGGGTTATGAATGGCTACAGTGCATGTCTTAGCTATGGAGCCTATTTGTACACAACATTAGACATGTCTCCAAATGGCTGTATTATTAGCTACGCACACACACACACACACACTACATATACATCAACACACGTGAATATGCACTACAGATTATTAATTTGTCATTCATAATTTTGATTAAAAAATATATTAGCTTGACAATCAAGAAGATGAGGCAAGTGGTATAGGGAGGGGTACCACACATTCTGATTTGACCTTTGTGATGGAGGTTGCGTGGTCAGATATCGGGTATTAATGGGATCTAGGACTACATATGCAAGTGGCCCAGATCCATTCTGAAAAAAACAAAACAAATTGGTTTGTTTGCACATTTTGTAAAAAGCAAAAAAAAAGAATCAGCTCTGAGTCACTTGGAGGGAAAAACATTGGCTTTGAATCACTTCAGTTGTGTAGTCTGAACATAGATATTCTGTTTAGAAAGATGGATTGCCCATAGGGTGCCTCACAAGTTAGAAGACACACAGCGTTGGCATCCAAGAAAGAAAGGAGTGGAAGCATGGCATCCTGTGCTCACTGTGTCAGGTGTGTTGATAAACACTGCAGCAGAAAGTTGTGAAAATTTTGTTTTTGTCAGGTTGCTCTTTTAACACACAGGCTGGGAGCTGAGTGTCAAATAGCAGAGAGTGCAAAAGGGAAAATCTGTAGAAGTGACACTCCCCATCCCCCCCACCCCCACCCCACTAAAAGTATAGATGCATGTCACTGATGGCGGTAAATGATAAAAGATTTCTGCACTGAAAGCTGCTGTGACA